TTCATCTTCAATTTTAATTTTATTTAGAAGAATGTGACTAGAATTCCCTACTGGATATGTTTACATAGCTATATTATTTTACTCATTTCTAATTTTAGAACATTATGATCAATGGCTATGATTTGTTTGTTTTCATTTTTAGAGGGGGGAAGAATTCATTGAACTATTTGGTAGTAAAATATAGCATCCATTTTATTCTTTGTAAGTAATTTCTTTCACATTCTCGTATTGTTGGGATTAAAAAATAAATAATTTTGCCCTAACCGGTTTGGCTTAATGGATTGAGCGTCAGCCTGCAGACTCAAGGATCCCAGGTTCGATTCCAGTCAAGGGCATGTACCTTGGTTGCAAGCTCCTCCCCAACCCGGGCCCTGGTCTGGGCCTGTGCAGGAGGCAACCAATTGATGTTTCTCTCACATCAATATTTCTGTTTGTCTTTCCCTCTCTCTTACACTCTCTCTAAAAATCAATGAAAAAATATTCTTGGGTGAGGATTAAAAAAATAATAAAATGAAAGAAAGAAAGAAAGAAAGAAAGAAAGAAAGAAAGAAATAAAGAAAGAAAGAAAGAATTTTAAAATGAAAATCAAAATTTTAAACTCTTCAAATGTCCTTAATAGATAACTGTTCTATTAAACTAAAATTACTTCATAGAATCATATCGACTTTGGAAAATCATAGAAATGAAATATAGAGAATAGAACACAAAATTATAGTTTAAAACATTTTTTATAGTTACCAAAGACATTCATTAGAAAAAAAGTAATAAAAATGTCTTGATCCTCTAGGACTATCTTCTAATTATCCCAAGATCTAACAGAGTAATAATAAAATAAAAGTCTCTTTTTAAGATTATACAAGGTCAAGGCCAAGCCATAGTAAAGGTGAGTTGATAATACCAGAGTGTTGGTCAGAGGTTTGCTTCTCAGAGTGTGATGCCAAGGCCAGCAAGGAGCATGGACATCCATAGTATAAAATGCACAAGTCAGGCCCTATTCCAAACCTCCTGAAGCAGAATCTGCATTTTAACAAGATTCCAGGACTTTGACGATACATTAACATTGCAGAGGCATTAAGTATAGTTCTGATCTATCTCTTACCTAATGCAGATTCTGGGGCTGCAGTTGAACTTCCAGGCAAGGTGAAGTGGCTTCTAATGTATGGGGAAAACAGTAGGGTTCACTTAAAATGAAGCACAGCCTGAGAGTGACAAGGACAAGCAACACAGACAGGTGAAGAACAGCAGGAGGGAAAAAGGAAAGAAGAGGGTTTCTCTGAGGAAAGCCGCTTCCGTCACTTGGACACAGACATCAGAATTCTTTATTATTTCACCTGAAAGTTTGTGTCTAGGGGTTTAGAAACATCTTTTTCTATACACTGGAGTCTTCCTGAGTTTATCTTTAAACCTCATAACTTCCTTGAAAAAAATAAGTTTTTATGAATAAAAGGTGTGGTAATAATATTTTTAAATATTAATTTAGAAAGGTTGCCTAAAATTGAAAAAAAATATTTGAAAGTATGTTTATTTTATCTTTACTTTTTCTGAATGTTGGGCTGCCTCTTTTCAAAATGTCTAATGGTTTCATTTGGAACCAATATTATTTCCTTGTCCTGAACTAAAAAATCGACAAACTGAGGTGTTAATCCTAGTAAGTTAATATAATAATGTATAGGAAAATAATAGACCTGCGAAGTTGGAGTACATCTAAACTTCTGCTTTATGAGAAGAATTTTTTTCTACAACAGATCTGGTGATGATCTTTCAACCCAAATATTTCAAAGGATGGGAATGTCTCACACTTCAGGGCAGACATTCCTTGTGGGGTAGCACTCCCTTTTCAGAATGACCATGCCATTGGGAATTGGAAGACACGTGTCGGAGTCTGGCCGTGCCTCTTGGATAGTTCTAGGCCCAACTTACTCTTATCCCAAGGCTCTTGTTCTAATCCAGTGGCTCCAACTCAGTGGTTCCAATCCAGTGGCTCCAACCCTTTTTAAAAACATTAATTCCAACCAAAGATAGTATAGAAATAAGACAGAGCCCAGCAACAACAGGGAAGGATCTGGGGAGTATTATGCTGAGCGAAATAAGCTAGTCAGAGAAACATAAGTATAACATGATCTCACTCATATGTGGAATCTAATGAACCAAATAAACTGATGATCAAAAATAGACCCAGAATCATCGAAGCATGAACAGACTGTTGAACCTCAGAGGGAAGACAGGGGAAGGTGGATGGGAAGAGATCAACCAATGAACTTATATGCATATATGCATAGCCCGTGGACACAGGCAATGGGTGGTAAGGACCTATGGGGGGAGGGGAAGACAGGAGTGGGCTGGAAGAGGTTATGGGGGGAAAGGAGGACCTAAGTAATACTTTTAACCATATAGATTTTTTAAAAAAGAATAAAAGTGAAAAGAAAAAAAGGACTGAGCCCAGGCCTCTGGAGTTTGGCACCCCCTTTGTCCCAGTTACAATAGGAGAATACAGGTTGTATCTTATTTCCAGATGGCAAACCATCAATAGTTTCAGAGAACCACCAAGATTTAAGATGAGAAGGGACCCATAGGAAAGTACTGGAAAAGAGGAACTGTCTGGCTATTGACAGATGAATGCAGGAAATTAGGCATGCAGGTGGTGGAGAGCTAAAAAAGTAAATGAGAGATGCTGAAGCAACACAGAGGTAGTATTTGCAGGAAGCAAGTATGAACCCTGAGACTGGAGGGCAAAGGGGAGAGAATCTGGAGGCTCCTAAGAGGGAACCACTGAGCTGGGACCTGACCTCCAAGGGCACTGCCTGGCCGCTTCGGCTTTCTCGGAGTAGGTCCCAGGAGGCTGATCTGGAAATGCAGAAAAAAACCACACAAACAGAAATTCAGGCCATCAAAATGAAAGGCGAACATGGTGGGTGGTGTGGGTAGGTAGGCTAAATAGCCATCTCAGGTGGTGGATAAAGAATAATTGAATTTATTTAAGGAAAGGGATTGGGAGAAGGGATATCAAAAGGGAAGGGCTGCACAGCACCGAGCCAAGGGGTCATTGGGTCAATGATGGCAGCACCCAGGAGCTGGAGTTTCATCCCTATATGCACTCACTATTGGGAAACTTGTCATCAGTGAGTCTGGAGGCTGAGGTGGGCTTGGAATGTGAATGGAATGCAGGTGTACAATCAGGTGTCTTCAGGACAGTTTCAATTCCTTAAATGGTCTGATTTCTGGTGTCCAGCAAGGTGTGTTTTTTTTCTGGTCTTTTGTTCCCCTGGTGGGGATGGGGTGGGGACTTACAAATGGCTGTTATGGATTGTATTGCCCTAAAGTTTTAAAATTAGAGGCTGAACCAGCTACCAAAGCCTTGAAGAAGAGCCATGACTGGGCTGCCTGAAAGAACATCAGGCGAACAGGAAGAAGCAGGCATCTGTCCCCACCTGTTGCTCCTCTGGGGCTCCTCACCCTCCACCCAAACGCTCAGGTGGAGGAAGGTGTGCCTGCCCAGTCCCAGCCCAGAGTCACAGACCAGATGGTGGCTTAGAAGCTCAGACACTAGTTTGCTAACTGGCCCAAAGGATACTTGGTGCCCCTCCCCTCCTCTGTGCATCCAAGAATTTGAGATACAGAGCATGTAAGTGTTGTCTAGAGCCTCACGTACCCACAGTGCTGGTGCACGCAGGCGCAGACATGTGTCCCTGGTGTTGGTTGTTGTTGTTGTTCTTTTTTTTTAAATAGAAATTCTGTAAAGAGTAAATATAACATTTTATAAGTATTTTTTCCCTTAGAATTTCTGAAGAGAAGCTAAGAAACTGAGATATTACCAAAAATGTATAGAAACGAATACTGCATATATATTTTTTGGCAAAACTTTCTAGTTGCTTTCATTTTTACCTAAAATTTTGAAACAATATTAAAAGAAATAAGTAATAAAATATCTAGACACTTGTATTAGGTAAATATGTCTTAGCAATTTTTTTTTATCCAAAACCAACCCCCCCAAATAACCAACATATAAATAGAAGCATAAAGTGTACATATAAAAAATATGCTTGGTTCTTTAAAATTCTTTATTGTAGGTTCATTTGAAATGTCAGTGTTCAGCTCACATATTTCTATACTCTTAAGAATCATCAACACTTAATTTTTGAGTGTTTTTAATTGAAAAGATTCTGTTGCTTAAAATTCCATTCAACCCCCTGACCTGAGGTGAAAAATACTTAATATTTGTGTTTTTCCTAAAGCCTTCCTCTGTGCTCAATTTCTCATAATTAACAGAACATTTAATCCAAAGTAGAGTGCAGCCCCCACCACTTCTCCATTCCAGCCCAAAGGCAGCACAGAAAATATCAGAGCCTGAGACACATTTGTCCCATGGTAGCTTCTTGTGTATGTGTGGCTTGATGGCATTTAAAGCTGGTATAATAGGGACATACAGGAATCTCTTTCTTGCTTGGCACATAAGGTCATTGGCAAGGACAGCAAAACCCTGGTAGATTTCTCATGTCAGTGACTCATGGTTTTGGTTTTTTTTTTGTATGTGTGTGTGTCTCATAGTTTTTATACTAAATTATGACATGACAGGAACTGCTTCCGATTCTTCAAAGTACCCAATGGAAAGAAAATGTCAGGGCTAATATGCCAGCATTTAGTGAATGCAGCCAAGCAGTTGTGCTAGCTGAGTAGTCCAGAGTTGATGATGCAGCCTTCTCTTCATGTTTTTCCAAGTGTAACTTTCCTAACTCGTGACCAGGGAATCATTTGTCCTCAGGAAGAATCTACCTCTTAATACTTTAGGTCTTTAGTTTTTTTTCTTTAGTTTTGATGTTGCCAGGCCAGTGTTTAAATGCAAGCAGTGATGTTTACCCGATTTCATTATCATAGTAGTTATTAGCTGTGTTAACTCTACTGCCACCAAAGGGCCTTTCATCTTCTTCTAGCTGGAATAGGCCTACCCTTTGACATAGATGAGAAAGAAAATTGGTTTTAACTGGTGTGTTTTTGAATTTCAGGAATAGTTGCTGTTCTCTTCTGTGGAGTCACACAGGCACATTATACCTACAATAATCTGTCATTGGATTCCAAAATGAGGACTAAACAGGTAAAAGGAAAAACTCCCTCCCTGCCTTATGTCCTTTCTCAATGTAACGGTTACACAGCAATGCTGGCGGTGCACTCGGAGTTTCATTAGCAAAGGAAGCTCCAGACTTCATTAAAGTTTGGGATATTTTATTATTTTTTTCCCCTCCAGGATAACCATTCAATATGTTCTGCTTGGTAAGCAAAAATCTATAATAATAAAAGCGTAATATGCTAATTAGACTGGACAGCCGAACGACCTTCTGGATGTCATTCCGGACGTCCTTCCGGATGAAGCTGCGGCAGTGGGGGCTGAGGCAGAGGTGGTTAGGGGCAATAAGACAGGCAGGAGAGCAGTTAGGGGCAATCAGGCAGGCAGGCAGAGGTGTTAGGGGTGACAGGCAGGCATGCAGAGTAGTGAGGGGCTATCAGGCAGGCATGCAGAGTAGTTAGGGGCTATCAGGCAGGCAGGCAGAGTGCTTAGGGGCTATCAAGCAGGCAGGCAGGCAAGTGGTTAGGAGCTAGCAGTCCCATATTGCAAGAGGGATGTCAGACTAAGGGATTTTCAACTGCCAGTTTAGGCCCTATCCCATGGGAATCCCTGCGGGATCGGGCCTAAACCAGCAGCCAGGCATCCCCTGAGGGGTCCCAGATTGTGAGAGGGTGCATGCTGGGCTAAGGCCCCCCCCCCCCCCCCTGCACGAATTTTGTGCACCTCTAGTATAGTTATAATAGTCTCTCCCTCCTGAGAAATGTGGGCCATAGACTGTCAGACTTGAAGATGAAAGGCCCACAGATGCTAATAATTTACAGTCACTTACATCTAAAAGCATTATAAAGCATGTGAGATTGGGTAGACAGAAGGAAACGAAGAAGAATAAGGAAGCCGTGTTTGCTCCTTAATTATGTGCTTTTGCTTCTAAATAAACTGAATTGCCAGTTGTCACACAAAAGAATGTACCTCTCGTATGCCAAGAACATGTCTGCTTGGATATTTGCACATGAGCATGCACAAATCCCTTCCACAAACTGCTGCACAGCCCCTCTGTGCCAAGCACTGTGCTAGGTACTAGGAATAAAAAGACAGATAGCATCTGACCCTGCCTGTAAGAGGTTCATTATCAAGTCTGTTGATAAAGATTAAGATGTGTAGTGAACTGTGATAGAAATATCTCCATAGAGTGTTTGGGGAGCATTCAATAGAGCATCCTCCAGTTACTAGGATTGGGAAGGGGAGAAGAAGGTTTACAGAAATGATGCCCAATCTGGAGCTTGAAATACAAATAGAGGTTAATCAGGTAATTACGTGGAGCATTGGAAAGTAGCAGAAAAGGCATTTGAGTCCCAAGTTATAGATGAACAAGAGCCTAAGGCAGTTGTTTGAAGCACTGTAAATAGTTCTGTGTGGCCAGAGAATGGGGTAAGGCTGAAGCTACTGGGATCCAGTGATAGATGAAACCAAAGATATAGCGAGAGACCAGCTTATGAAAGAATGTCCAGTGAAATATTACTAAGCAATAAAAAATAAAAATAAAATCTTGCCATTTGTAACAACATGGATGGACCTGGAGGTTAATATACTAAGTGAAGAAAGTCAGACAGAGAAAGGCAAATAGCACATGATTTCACTTATATTTGAGATTTTAAAAAATTAAACAAATAAACAAAACAAAAACAGACAATAGAAACAGAGATTGAACTGATGATTGCCAAGGGAGTTTGGGGGGTGAGGGGAAGAGAAGGTGAAGGAAAATGTGGTAAATAACATTGTGATAACTTTGCATGGCGAGAGATGGTTACTAGGCTTAGTGTGTTGGTCACAACATAATGTATACCAGTGGTTCCCAAACTTATTTGGCCTACCACCCCCTTTCCAGAAAAAATATTACTCAGCGCCCCCTGGAAATTAATTTTTTTAAAATTTTAATAGCAATTAAACAGAAAGATATACGTATTAATGTTTCTACCTTTTTCGTAAAATATAGTAAAGAAAGGTGTAAATTAGAAACATTGAAGTTTGAAATTATGAAACTATTTATTGAACTCAGAATAGAAAGGTAATACATTATAAACATGATATTATTAATTGTAAAGCGCATATAATTATTACAAAATAAATAAATAATACCAATTATAGTCGCACTATTTGTTAGTTAACTTTAACTTGTCACAATATCACAACAATCTAACTTAGAGTTATATTACGCCGTAATTTTCCCGTAATAATTATGGGAAATCTCCTGATTCATAGCGTGCTCCAAAATCTGCTGGTAGTACTGCCAGTAGCCAGTACTGCCACTGCCATTCCAGGCTTTGGCCTTGAGATCGACCAATCGCAAGAGTGGCAGTTGCCCGCAGCAATGCTCGTAGTGCTCACGTGTTTTGGAACGGCAATTCAGTGGCACCACGTGAACAGTAGCAGTGCGCGATTGCACATAGCTCAATGCAAGTGAGGGAGTATGCGGGAACCGAGCCAACATCCAGTACGTTGTTCAAAGAAAAATTAAGCGTTATGAGCAGAATACATAAATCAATTTTTCTAAATCTTCTCTTCTTTCTTTTATGCTTTCACTGCCCCCTTACAGTTATTCATCGCCCCCAAATGCACCTGTGGCCATCACCGCCCCCCTGGATCGCTGCAGCGCCCACCAGGGGGCGGTAGCGCCCACTTTGGGAATCACTGATGTATACAAATGTTGATCATTATATTATACTAGTAGCCCAGTGCATGAAATTCGTGCACTGGGGTGGGGGGCAAAGGGGCCCCTCAGTCTGGCCTTCACCCTCTCCAATCTGAGACCCCTCAGGGAATGTCCAACTACCTGTTTGTGCCCACACTTTTAACAGATAACAGCTCCATTGTTGTTTCTTTCTTATGCTTAAAACCATTGGAATTAGTAGGTATTCAAAGTGTGTATACATTTTGGGGGGACACCCTGTATATCTCTAGTCAGTGGTGAAAGAAACCAACAGCAGATTTGGAACCCCCAGACAGGGAACCTTGCTCACTCCCCACGTCTCCCCACTTCACTTTCCACCTTCGTGGGCAGCAGGAGAATCAACATTTTCTCTCATTAATTTGGAAAAGCATGCCCTGTCACCCTTTGCCCAGCAGGAGTGCGCTAGGCCCCAAGCAAGCAAGGCTCAGTCAGGGCAGCCTTCACTCATGGGTGCTGGCACCCAAAGTGCATATTCCTCCTCTACAGTCGCCCCGACTATCCCACTGTTTCACTGAGAGGACAGAATTCCTCTCTGCCTCTGGGTTCTTGATCTTGAACACTGACCGAAGGCACCTTAGAGAGGGCCGCCCGCGCCCACCAGGTGTGTCTGTCTGCACCTGCTCCCGCCTCAGGACCTGCATTAACCCCCCAGAGGTGATCTCATAGCTGCACTGGCCTCTGTGGGAACAGGGCATCACCACTTTGCCCTCTCACTGTCACCTCACAGGCGCCCACCCTCAGCACCCAGAACACCCAGACACTCTCCAAAGGACGTGAGCGCATCAGAGGGGATGTGTGCACATCCTGTGGGGGTGTTAGGCATGCTGGGTTGATGGAAGTGCGGTGGAGAGGCAGGGGGAACTTGTGCATGCCTTGGTTTGCAACTGTTGCAGGCGTGGGAGGGTGACAGTGTGCTGGGGGATGTTCGCACGCCAGGGGGGTATGTGCACACCAGAGGCCTCTGGCTTTGCAGATCCGCAAACCCCCGTGGCGCAGCCAGGAGGACATCAGTCTGGCCCGCCACGGTGGCTGTCCCTGTGATCCTGCACCTTCTGGGCCAGGAGGTGGATCTTGCACAGCCACTCCTGGGCGCTGATGGCCTGCAGGCTCTGCTTGGCGTGCTCACAGCTGTCATCACTGCCATGTGGGGAGTACAGTCTGCCCTCTGCCGGCCTGCCTCCCCTATCCAGAGGCTCTCTGCGCTGCTCACCTGCCCAGAGTGACTGGGGCTGGGCTGAAGCCAGGCATCCTGCCCTGCCCAACACCAGCGGATCCACCCCTGTGCGAGCTGCCGCCCCGCCGTGAAGGGTCACGGATCCAGGTCCCAGACCCCGGACAGCCTCAAGCACTGCCCCCCACCTGGCAGGGTCACAGATCAGGGTCCTGGGACAGCAGACAGCCTCAAGCACTGCCCCCCGCCCGGCAGGGTCACAGATCCAGGTCTCGGGACCGCGGACAGCCTCAAGTGCTGCCCCCCACCCGTCAGGGTCATGGATCCGGTCCCAGACAGCGGACAGCCTCAAGCACTGCCCCCCGCCCGGCAGGGTCACAGATCCGGGTCCCGGGACCGTGGACAGCCTTGCCCACTGCCGCCCGCCTTCAGTATGCTTCAGGGTGGGGGTCCCCACTGGGGTGCCTGGCCAGCCTGGATGAGGGGATGATGGCTGTTTGCAGCTGGTCACACCCCCTTCAGGGTGGGGGTCCCCACTGGGGTGCCTGGCCAGTCTGGGTGAGGGGCTGAGGGCCGTTTTCAGGCTGGCGGGTGACTGAAGCTCCCAACCTCTCCTTTTTTCTTTTGTTTTTATTCCGGGATTTATTTACCTTCTATGGCTGTCACAGGAGCTGAGAGCCACCTTTAGCTCTGAGGCTCGGCTCCAGCTCTGAGACCTCTGCTGCTGAAAGCAGGTACTGGGTTTGTTTGGGTTCTATAATTGAAACACTGTTGCGGTCCTGCTGGCTGAAGCCCTGCTGGCTGAAAGCAGGTTTCTGGAGTTTGTTTAGCTTCTATATTTGCAACAATGTTTCTTAAACTGCAAGCTCAGAAGCCGGCAGCGGCAGGCGGGGAACGTTGGCTTCCTCCATCACTGAAGCAAGCAAGCCTCCTGTTCACTTCAAGCTGCCTGGCTGCTGGCCGCCATCTTGGTTGGCAGTTAATTTGCATATCGCCCTGATTAGCCAATGGGAAGGGTAGCGGAGGTACGGCTAATTACCATGTTTCTCTATTATTAGATAGGATATCTGAAAGTAATATAATATTGTCAACTTTAATTTTAAAAAAGAAAAGACTTTCATACCTTGTGAA